TCACCAGACGGTCAACATAGAAATCAGATTGACTATGTGCTCTGCAGCCAAAGATGGAGAAAACTCTATACAGTCAGTAAAAACAAGACCAGGAGCTGACTGTGGCTCAGATCATGAGCTTCTCGTTGCAAAATTTAGGCTTAAATTGAAAAAAGTAGGGAAAAGCACTAGGCCACTCAGGTATGAACTAAATCATATTCCTGATGAATATACAGTAGAGGTGACAAATAGATTTAAGGAATTAGATCTGATAGACAGAGTGCCTGAAGAACTATGGATGGAAGTTCGCAACATTGTACAAGAGGTAGCAACTAAAACCATCCCAAAGAAAAAGAAATGCAAGAAAGCAAAATGGCTGTCTGAGGAAGCTTTGCAAATAGCTGAGGAAAGAAGGGAAGCGAAAGGCAAAGGAGAAAGAGAAAGATACACCCAATTGAATGCAGAATTCCAGAGAATAGCTAGAAGAGATAAGAATGCCTTCTTAAATGAACAGTGCAAAGAAATAGAAGAAAACAACAGAATAGGGAGGACCAGAGATCTCTTCAAGAAAATTGGAGATATGAAGGGAACGTTTCATGCAAAGATGGGCATGATAAAGGACCAAAATGGCAGAGACCTAACAGAGGCAGAAGAGATTAAGAAGAGATGGCAAAACTACACAGAAGAACTATACAAGAATGAGCTTAACATCCCAGATAACCACAATGAGATGGTCATTGACCTCGAACCAGACATCCTAGAATGTGAAGTGAAATGGGCCTTAGAAAATCTGAGCAACAACAAAGCTAGTGGAGGTGACAGTATTCCAGCTGAGCTATTCAAAATCTTAAAAGACGATGCAGTAAAAGTGCTACACTCAATTTGCCAGCAAATTTGGAAAACTCAACAGTGGCCACAGGATTGGAAAAGGTCAGTTTACATTCCAATTCCAAAGAAAGGCAATGCCAAAGAATGTTCAAACTATCGCACCATTGCACTCATTTCACATGCTAGTAAAGTTATGCTTAAAATCCTACAAGCTAGACTCCAGCAGTATGTGGATCGAGAACTACCAGAAGTACAGGCAGGATTTCGAAGAGGCAGAGGAACTAGAGATCAAATTGCCAACATACGCTGGATCATGGAGAAAGCTAGGGAGTTCCAGAAAAACATCTACTTCTGCTTCATTGACTATGCAAAAGCCTTTGATTGTGTGGATCACAACAAATTGTGGCAAGTTCTTAAAGAGATGGGAGTACCAGACCATCTCATTTGTCTCTTGAGAAACCTATATGCGGGTCAAGAAGCAACAGTGAGAACTGAACACGGAACCACTGATTGGTTCAAAATTGGAAAAGGAGTCCGGCAAGGCTGTATACTGTCGCCCTGCCTATTTAACTTATATGCAGAGCACATCATGAGAAAGGCAGGCTAGATGAATCAAAAGTTGGAATTAAGATTGCCGGGAGAAATATCAACAACCTAAGATATGCAGATGATACCACTCTAATGGCAGAAAGTGAAGAGGAACTAAAGAGCCTCTTGATGCGGGTGAAGAAGGAGAGTGCAAAAGTTGGCTTGAAACTCAACATTAAGAAAACCAAAATCATGGCATCCGGCCCTCTCAATTCCTGGCAAATAGATGGGGAAGAAATGGAGGTAGTGACAGATTTTATTTTTCTGGGCTCCAAGATCACCTCAGATGGGGACTGCAGCCAAGAAATTAAAAGACGCTTGCTCCTGGGGAGGAAAGCTATGGCAAATCTAGACAGCATACTAAAAAGCAGAGACATCACCCTGCCAACAAAAGTGCGTATAGTCCAGGCCATGGTTTTCCCAGTTGCAATGTATGGCTGTGAAAGTTGGACCATAAGAAAGGCTGAGCGCCAAAGAATTGAGGCCTTTGAACTATGGTGCTGGAGAAGACTCCTGCGAGTCCCTTGGACTGCAAGGCGTTCAAACCGGTCAGTCCTAGAAGAGATCAACCCCGACTGCTCTTTAGAAGGCCAGATCCTGAAGTTGAAACTCAAATACTTTGGCCACCTAATGAGAAGGAAGGACTCACTGGAGAAGGGCCTAATGCTGGGAAAGATTGAGGGCAATAGAAGAAGGGGACGACAGAGAATGAGATGGCTGGATGGAGTCACTGAAGCAGTAGGTGTGAATTTAAATGGACTCCAGAAGATGGTAGAGGACAGGAAGACCTGGAGGAACATTGTCCATGGGGTCGCGATGGGTCGGACACGACTTCGCAACTAACAACAACAAATGGAAGAGCCAACATTTTAGAACATAGGCTCAAGATACAGAAGAACCTTGACAGACATGAACACTGGGCCCAATTTAAAAAAAAATGCAATCAGTGGTGAGAAAAATTAGGTGTTATACCTAGGCAAGAAAAAAAACTAATGCATAGGTGTAGAATAGGTACCTGGCTCAATAGCAATAACTGTGAGAGGATCTAAGAATCCCAGTGGACAACCACTTAATATGAGCCAGCAATATGTTGCACTTCCAAAAAAGCCAGTACAATCCTAGGCATCAAGAGAGAGATAGAATCAAAATCACTTGAAGTGCTAGTACAACTTTACAGTGCTTTGGTAAAACCATACTTAGAATATTCTGCCCAGATGTGGTCATCACGAAAAAAAAGATGTTGAGGCTCTAGAAAAAGTGCAGAGAATAGCACCAAAATGATTAAGGGACTGAAGACTAAAACATATGAAGAATGGTCACCATAATAATAATAAAGTTGGAAGGGACCTTGGAGGTCATCTAGTCCAACCCCCTGCTCAGGCAGGAAACCCTATACCATTTTGGACAAATGGCCATCCAGTCTCTTCTTAAAAATTTCCAGTGTTGGAGCATTCACCGCTTCTGGAGGCAAGTTGTTCAAAGTGTGGAAACTGGATGCAGTATTCCAAGTGTGGCCTTACCAAGGCATTGTAAAGCAATATTAACTCTTCACGTGATCTTGATTCTATCCCTCTGTTAATGCAGCCTAGCACTGTGTTGGCCTTTTTGGCAGCTGCAGCACACTGCTGGCTCATATTTAAGTGATTGTCCACTAGGACTCCGAGGTCCCTCTCACAGTTACTACTATTGAGCATGGTGCCACCTATGCTGTACTTGTGCATTTGGTTTTTCTTGCCTAAATGTAGAACCTTGCTTTTTTCATCATTGAATTTCATTTTGTTAGATAGCGCCCAGTGTTCAAGTCTGTCCAGATCCTTCTGTATCTTAAGCCTGTCTTCTGGAGTGTTGGCTATTCCTACCAGCTTGGTGTCGTCTGCAAATTTGATGAGTTCCTCATCTATCCCCTCGTCCAAATTGTTAATGAAGATGTTGAAGAGCACTGGGCCCAGAACAGAGCCCTGGAGCACCCCTCTACACACTTCCCTTCATGTAGATGCGGTTCCATTGAGGACCATATGCTGAGTACGGCTGATCAGCTAGCTACAGATCCATCTGGTGATGATGCTGTCTAACCCACATTTTTCTATCTTATCAAGTAGTAGGTTGTGATCTACTTTATCAAATGCCTTACTGAAGTCCAAGTAAATTATATCCACAGCATTCCTCTGATCCATTAATTTTGTAACTTGGTCGAAGAATGCAATAAGATTTGTCTGGCATGATCTGTTTTTGACAAACCCATGTTGGCTTTTAGTAATGACTTTGTTTGCCTCTAGGTGTTCACTGATTTGTTGTTTGATTATCTTTTCCAGATTCTTCCCAGGTATTGAGGTCAGGCTGATAGGTCTGTAATTTCCTGTAATTTTTTTCCCTTTTTTGAAGATGGGAACTACATAGCTCTTTTTGAGTCCTCCGGTAGTTCCCCAGTGCTCCAGGATCTTTGAAAAATATAGTTCAGTGGTCCTGAGATCACATCTTCCAGTTCCTTGAGAACCTTGGGGTGTAATCCATCTGGTCCTGGTGATTTGAACTCGTCTAGGCTAGACAGATGCTCACTTACCATTTTCTTGCCTATCTTAACTTGTATTTCTATTCTGTTTTTATGGCATTATTTTTGATAGGTTGGTCTGTTTTTTTCCTTTTGTGTAAAGCAGATACAAAAAATGAGTTAAATAGTTCTGCTTTCTCCCTGTTGCTTGTCACCTTCTTGCCACTTTCACCTACTAATGGACCAATCATTTCGTTCACTTTTTTCTTGTTTTTTACATGTTGAAAGAAGCTTTTTTTGTTATTTTTGACTTTGGTTGCAAGTCTTAGTTCATTTTGAGTCTTAGCTTTCCTCGCTTCATCTTTGCAAACTTGGGCTATTTGCTGATATTCTGACTTAGTTATGTGCCCCTTTTTCCACTTTCTATACTTGTCCTTTTTATCTTTCAATTTGTCAGAGAGTTCTTTATGCAGCCATGCTGATTTCTTTTGAGAGCTGTTATTTTTCCTCTTTGTTGGTATTGTGCTAGACCGGGCTTTTATTATCTCACTTTTCAAAATTTCCCAAGCTTCTTGAGTTGTTTTCCCCTTGAGGATTCTCATCCATGGAATCCTTCCCAAGCCCTCTCTAAGTTTATTGAAATTAGCTCTCTTGAAGTCCAAGACTCTAGTTTGACTGTGTTCTATTGCTTGTGCTTCCATAATGTTGAATCCAATATTGCATGATCACTTCTTCCCAAGGTTTCTGTGGCTTCAACACCTTTATCATTTCATCTCTGTTAGTGAGAATTAGATCAAAAATGGCTAATCCCCTAGTTCCCTTCTCTACTTTTTGGGAGACAAAGTTGTCTGCTAGGTTTGCCAGGAACCTGTTTGATCTTCCACTTGGTGCAGAGTCTCCCAGTTGATGTCAGGGTAGTTAAAGTCCCCCATTACTATTGTGATATTAAATTATAAGAATACACAGAGAAAAGAAAAACTGGCAATGAATTATAGAACACAACAATTCAGCAAGCCCGGTTGTAAAGGTGAAAACTACTGATACAATTGAATCATAGTCATAAGCAAAAGACAGCATAGGTTAATGATCATAATAAGGAAGCCAGCATAAAACTTACAGGAACTGCATTATTCTTCACTGTCACACTGGGAGTTGTTGCCCGCAGTGCCCCACTCGCTCCATGATAATATTTGAAGCAGATCTTTGTTTCAGCTAAAAGAAAAATTAATCTTGGATTAATAGCTTCTAATAATATCTGTTGAGTAGACTCCATCATAATACAAGAAAATTCATTTTGAGTACAAAATTAATACATTCAAATTCTTCAAATTAAATAAAATTCAATGAATCAAATTAATTTTTTAAAAAAACAATTCAATTAGAGGTAGTCCTTCACTTATGACCACAATTGAGCCCAAAATTTCTATTGCTAAGTGAGTCAGTTGTTAAGTGAATTTTGCCCCATTTTATGACATTTCTTTTTTTTATTATTGAAAGTTTTTTAAATTTTACAAAACAAATCCCCTCCCCAAACCCCCCCACCCTCCCATACCCTCCCCCACCTCCCCAAACCTCCCAAACCCTCCCCCAACCCTCCCAGAGCTGAGTACAGGCTTAATTAAAATTTTTCAGAAAAAGAAAAGAAAAACTTAAAACACATATAAATCCTAAACAAATCTAAATACATTAAATTAAATAGGTTATCTTCTCTAAAAAAATAATAATTGCAATCATTAAACACATTATAATATACTCTAAACATTTTCTAGTATCATACTTATATTATTATCCATCATTCTGTATAAACTCCCTCCAAAACACAAATTTAAACATTACTTTCTTTGAATATCTATACCTACAATATAAAATCTAATCTCTCCCTCTTTCTTTATCCTAGAACACAAAAATAAACATATAAACCTTCATTATACCATTAAAACTAAATACTCTTTGAATACTTAAACTAAATACTTAAACTTAAACTTCTTATCTAAGATTTTCATTCAATCTCCATAATCTTCTCTCCAATAAAAAAAAAAAACTTAAAAGACATATACATCCTAAACAAATCTAGGTACATTTAAACAAGTTATCTTCTCTTAAAAATAATAATAATAATAATAATAATAATAATAAAAAACCCCAATCATTAAACACATTATAATATACTCTGAAAATTTTCATATCATACTTATATTATTATCCATCATTCTTTATAAACTCCCTCCAAAACACAAATTTGAACACTACTTAAAACATTAAAATTCCCTTATACACATTTAAATCTTTACCAATAACAAATTCCATCCACAATAAACACATTCCTTATCAGTCTCTCTTGTCCATAAACCTCAAAAGAAGTGCTTTGAAAACTGCCTTTAAAGCTAACTCCAAAAAGTTTATAAATCTTGTTTCTCCCACAGACTCAGTACTCTTTTAAATACTTAAACTAAGTACTTAAACTTAAACTTCTTATCTAGAATTTTCATTCGATCTCCATCCTTGTTAGTCTCTCTTATCCATAAATCTCGAAAGAAGTGCTTTGAAATCTGCCCTTAAAGGTAGCTCCAAAAAGTTTATAAATCCTGCTTCTCCCACAGACTCAGGAGCCAATACTTGTGAGCCTTCCTTAAACTCCTTCTTCTGTTGCTCTTTTTCTTTACGATTGTATGTTGCATGAGTTGTGCAAATCCTTCACAATTATTGGCTGTACCAAGGAAGAGGGTGAAGCTATTGATTTAGGTTGTTGCACTGATGATAACACTGAAGAAGAAACCACCTTAGGAGCTGTAGGAATTACTGGACGCTTTGGAGCCATCTTAAAAAAAATCTTTACTCCTTCTTAAAAATTACAAAAATTAAGCAAAAGAAAAAGAGAGATTAAGTCCAAAAAAATTCAAAAAGTCCTTCAAAAGGAGATCATTATAACAAAAAGATACTGAACGCTTTGGAGCCATCTTAGAAAAATCTTTACTCCTTCTTAAAAGTTACAAAAATTAAACAAAGAAAAAGAGAGATTAACTCCAAAAAATCAAAAAATCCTTCAAAAGGAGATCATTATAATAAAAAGAAAGGAGTTAAAAAAAGAAAAGGGAAGAAGAAAAAAATAATTAAATAGAAAAAATCCATTCCATTTTTTTAAAAGTACAAAAAGCAAAACAAAGAAGTTAAACAAAAATAATAATGGTTCTAAAATCCAAACCCAATATCAAAATCAAATCCACATTCCGTTCCAATCATTAAAAAAAAAAAGGAAAAGGATAAAAAAAAACACCAAAAAGCCTGCCGATCGCCATTCTACCTTCCCCCCCCCCCAAAAAACTGAAAGGCTTGCCGATCGCCATTTTACTTTCCCTTTCAACAAAATAAAAAAAATAAAAAGAGGGAATATAAAAGTAAATTTTTAAACTTAAAATCCAAATAAAATCAAAGAAAGCAAAAGCTAAATCCTCTACTCAGCTCTGTCCGCCTCTAAAAAAAACTCACCAGATCACTTTAATCGCGGAGGTGGTTGCAGCGGCTTGTTTTGTCCCTAGGGACAAAAGCAGCTGGGAAGCGGAGACAGTCTGAACTCCATGGGAGCACTCCTCTCACCCCCCCAAAAAAGCCTTGGGGGTGCATGAGAGTGGCTCTACCACTATTCAGACAACCCTCTTTTTTCCCCCCCCTTTGCCCGGGAGGGGGATTTTGAACCGCTGAACAGCTGATGGCCGCTGTTCATAGCGATTCAAACACCCAGGAGGACGGCTACAAAGTAGCCGCCATCGCGGGCGCAGATCCACCGGAAGACCCTGACATTTCTTGCCGTAGTTATTAAGAGAATCACTGCAGTTGTTAAGTTAGTAACAGGGTTGTTAAGTGAATTTGGATTTACTATTGATTTGCTTGCCAGAAGATCACAAAAGATGATTACATGACCCTGGGAGACTGCAACCATGATAAATATGAACCAGTTGCCCTGCATCCAAATTTTGATCACATGACCACAGGGATGCTGCACAAAGTGTGAAAAATGGTTCAAACTTTTCCATTAAGTTCAATGGTGTTTTATAATATCAGGTTTTGTTTTTCAGCATCATTTCCCTTACTTTTCTCAAATCTGCTCACAAGGCAGTTTAATATGATTACATTTTCTGTTGCTAAGTAAGACATTTGCTAAATGAATTTTGCCCCATTTTACGACCTTTCTTGCCACGGCTGTTAAGTGAATCACTGCAGTTTTTAATTTAGTAGCAAAAGATGATCATATTATTCCAGGACACTGCAACCATCATAAATTTCCTGTAAGTTGCCTTGAGTCGCCGTGATCAAGTAAGCAGCAATACAAATTTTCCAAACAAAATAGTTGCCAAATGTCTAAACATTGATCACCTGACTATGAAGATGCTGCAATGATTGTAAGTATGAAAAATGGTCATGAGTCACTTTTTTCAGTGCTTTTGTAAATAATAAGGGTTACTAAATGAACTGTTGTAAATCAAGGATTACCGGTTCTTGCATTAGGATGCCTCTAGTAATAATATTTTCATGAACATTTCCTTTGGCACTTGTCATGTTCTCTGTTCCATTTTGATTTTTCAAAAGATTACTTTAAATAAAAACAAAGTGGAAGCTCGCAAACTCTAAAATAAAGCACCCACACTGCATATTCTTAATTACAAGAATACTTTTAGAATAATTTTATTCTAATTTTAATTTTAGAACAGAAACCATGTACTACTACTTTGTTACTTTTTTTTTTTGAAAAGGGGCATTGTCTTACCTTAACACCTTTTCTCAGCACGGAGATGGAAAATCCACCAATGGGTTGAGACTGTGTTCCTGCCCAATCAGATCAAGTCAGCCAAAGTTGCAACGCCTGTCCTGGGCTAGAGTGTCCCAGTCTCGACGCAGGTGAAGCCATGACTGACAGCAAGACGTGTTGACTCATAAAGCTAGCCCTAGGCCTAAATCACCTGCGAGGACGGGAGTGGATTCTCCATCTCCGTGCTGAGAAAAGGCATTCAGGTAAGACAATGCCCCTTCTCCAGCACTGGAGATGGAGAATCCACCAATGGGACATACCAAAGCCTACTGTCCCTGAGGGAGGGGAGCAGGCCAGTCCAGAATGGCACTTTGAGGTACTACCTATTGGAGAACCCTACTGCCAAAGGAGGCCTCCGCCGAGGCGAACCTGTCAATCTTATAATGCCTTATAAAGGGAGATGGTGAAGACTATGTGGCCGCTTTGTAAACGTCCTCGATGGATGCCTGAGTGGCCCAGGCCACGGAAGTAGCCGCACTATGTATTGAGTGGGCTGTGACCTGTCGTGGAACTGGCAATGACTCAGCCTGATACGCCCCCACTATACCCGCCCTAATCCACCTGCCAATCGTGGAAGAAGACACCTTCTGACCCTTGGAAGAAGGATGGAAGAAGACAAAGAGGGCCTCAGAGTTGCGGAAGGCAGCTGTCCGTGAGATGTAGTAATGGAGTGCTCTGCGGACGTCCAGAAGGTGCCATTGCCGTTCCAGGGCATGAGATGAGTGAGGACAGAAATCTGGAAGTATAATTTCTTGAGCCCTGTGGAAAAGAGAATTGACCTTAGGAAGGAAGGTAGGGTCCAGGTGAAGTACCACCCAGTCCTGGTGAAAAAAGCACAAGTCATCTCTGATTGAAAGTGCTGCCAATTCTGATATTCATCGCACAGAGGTGATTGCCACCAGGAATGCAACCTTGTGTAATACGTAACATATATCACATGTCTTGAGGGGCTCAAAGGGCGGTCTGGTTAGAGCCCGAAGAACTGGCGGCAGGTCCCAAGAGGGATACCTGTGCACTACAGGGGGCTTGGCAATAGTAGCACCCTTGATGAACGAACGGATCAAGGGATGATGACCTAGGAAAACCGCGGAGTCACAGGTAAGTACAGTGGAGAGAGCGGCGACTTGTCTGCGCAATATGTTTGGAGCCAAGCCCCTCTCCAGACCCTGTAAAAGGTAATCCAATATATGTGGAATTGTCAAGTCTGGAATGGTCAAGTGGTGGTTCGAGCACCACGAACAGAAGTTCCTCCACGTGGCCTCATAAATACAGTTGGTAGAGGACCGACAGGAGGCCTGGATTACGGTAAGGACCCCTGGTGAGTAGGACTCCTGGGACAAGATCGAGCACTCAAGTTCCAGACGACAAACTGGAGCCATTGGGGATCTGGATGAAGAAGGGTACCCTG